TATAGCATATAATCTAGCTAAATGTAAAAGTTTAAACTCTTTTAACTAATATAAGCAGGTACAATTTTATTTTTTTTTAAAAAAAGAACTAGATACTAATATCGCAAAACATAAATGATCCATCAACTAGGCATCAAATTCGACTTATTCTCGTAAGTACATAAAGGATTAATGTGAAATAACTTGGGACAAATTTTGGAGGAAAGTTTGTACTCCTACGTGGTACTCCTGTTTGAGGAAACAATGCTACTACTTCTGTCAAAAAAAAAAAATAGTTCATATTTAATTTTAATATCTATATTAATTTTAATACTTCATCTGTCCCAAAATTATTGTCCAATTTGAAATTTTACTTTTAGTACAATTTAAACTAGAAAGAAAAACTCAAACTGACAATAATTATTTTATATGAGACGGAGGGAGTACTATTATCCAAATTCAAAATGAGTCCTAGATGAGAATACATAGAAGAACTAGATGATATACCCGCACGATGCTCGAGGTAAATTATAATATTTTATCATACTTGTAAAATAGTTGTAAAAAAAATTAAAGTTGTGGAATCATAATTTGCAAAATAATTATTGTTAAAGTTTTGTACATACATAAATGTGATGACATAAAATATGAAAGAGTATGGTTTGTCTTTTGAGTATCATCATAAATGTAATGTGATAAAAGGAAAGAAAAATCACGGTATTATACAAATTTGATAAAAAGAGAAGATTTTTTTTTTTAAAAAAAAGAAAACCCAAAAACTTGTTTCTATTTCAAACACAATAATATCTAGTCAATTTTTTTGATATACAGAACAAACATAAATAAAAAAAATTAAAAAAAAATCCCGTGCATCACGCATCATGCCTTTTTCTAATGAGAAAATTGGTACGATAATGGGGCAATATTTGGCATTAATTGATTTACTTGATAATTACGATGATTTAGGCAATATGAAGTTACCACAGTTATTAAGGGAGACACAAATAATCATGCAATATTTTTATTTTTAAATTTCAATAAATTGTCACTTAAAATCTTATCCTACATAGTACTCTAAAATTCATGTGTTTCTCTCTATTGTTCTCCTATTAGTATAATATATAATAGATAATAGATTTATGTTGTTTTTTTATTAAAAAAATAAAATAAAGTTAGTTGATGAGATCAAAACTTAAGCTTATCAAAGATCAACATTTATAGCTAATTAAAAAAGACAACTTTTATTTGGCACTTGATTGAATTATAATACAATATTACAGTAACAATTTTCATGTTTGATAAAAATCTTAATTGGAAATTGATGAAAGTTAAATGAACGTAGTTAATATGCACAATTAATATATGTGTGATATTAAGGATTATTTTAATAAAAGAACCAAACACTTCTTTTTGTTTTTTTTGTTTTTTTTTTTTTTGTTCTGAAAGAAGAACCAAACGCTATTGGTTGCTTTACCTCTCAAACTTTTTTTAAATTTTCTTTTGGGGCCATATTTACATCGATGCAAAATCATCATCCTCGCATTTTTTTTTCACAATATTTGATTGAAATTCATATCAAGAATCAAACTAAAAACATGACACGTCAATCAATGTAACCTCTGGAAGGAATTAAGATAAAGAAAAAAAGTTTGAACAAAATTAATCCATGAACATATATGCCATTATTTCTATTGGTGATAAAATGGGCAATTACAAAAAATAAAAAATAAACAATTTCTTACTTACCTCGTTCAATTTGTTACCTTCATAGTTTTGTTTTTTGGTTGCTTCTGAAGAGACCATCTCACTCTAGAACAAACAGTGTTTTTTTTTTTAAAAAAAAAATCATGATATTTACAAAAGAATGTGTATGTAGTGAACAATCTCCATGTATTATGCACAGAATATAAAATTAACTAACAAAATTGAACGATTGTAAGAACGAAAATAATTATGCAACCAATATTAAATTTTAGAAACCATTCATCATTTCGAAAAATCAGAATCAAGATGTATTCTTAACAAACTATATATGGTTTAACTTAAATTGGATAGATTGAACAGAATATTACACATACAATCGACCTTTCAAAAACATCAACCCTTCTATCCAAGTAACTTATTTGATAACACTTAGCTTCAGGAATTTTGTTTCTGCCATAATAATACTAATTTTATGAAGAAAAGCGGTATGAAGGAACAGGACCGGACGGAGAGGGAAGGAGGACCAAAATTCACTCTAATTTATATTGGCACGAGGAGTCCTATTACTTAACAAATGATCTGATCCACTCATGGCGAGACAAAATCTTTTATGTGATCAGCTCCATGATTTTAGGTTTTTTTATTCATATCATAAGGTAATGATTTCAAAAATCAAATATGTGTACTGAAGATAAGATTGTACATCTTGGAAATTAATGGCTTCTAATTAAATTTTTAAAAAATAAATACTATTTGTTGTGTCTAATTAGGGGGAAGTTAATTGATACGGGGAAGGTTTATATACGTACCATATTTTTAGGTTTTATTGATTACGCTTGATTGCAGTGCATTAATGTTGATTGATTGATTATTATTTTTTTGAATGTAAAGTGCATTAATGTTTATTGATTTGATATTACTTTATTAACAGAAAATTCGAAAGATTTTTAGTATAATCTATAGTATATATATTATACTAAGAGAGAAACCAGAGAGAGAAAATAAAAAAGAATTCTAAAGGTGTCACATAGGATAAAATCCTATGTGTCATTTTTCTAATGGTTGAGTCAAAAAATATTTACAACAATTATACTAATAGTCCTTCAAATTTTATGTAAATAAAGTTTTATCAAATGGTATTTAAAACTATAGTTTAAAATATGAAAATAAAAATTAATTAAATTTAATGGATGGAATTAATGAACATTAATGCACCAGAATTATTTCCTCCCTAAAAGAATCCACAAAGTTACTACTGAACTCATTTAATTAATCTCTCTCAAAAAAAATCTCCCTCCCAATCATGTAAATCAATAGATTACAATTCAAAAAAAAAAACCAATCATTCAACATTAATGTTATCTTTAAAATCTTCTCCCAAAAACATGACCCTGTATTTTTTGCCAATAAAAAAGAAAAAAAAAGGTACAAAACTTGCCTTTAATTATTACTAAAAGGATGGGATTTAACTATAATTAAATGTTATCTTTTGAATTTCAAACCAATGCATTTATTTGTGTAATATCATATCTACCCAAATAAATATAATATTTCCTAAATAATATCTCAAAAATTGTTATAAACTTTATCTTTATCACTGAAATTTTGGATAATCAGTTATCATTAATCCCAATTTATCTCTATTTATACATGCCACACAACCCATGAGTATGTTCCAGTGCTGCAAAAATTTTCTCCTCCCCAAAACAACCCGAAATCCAAAGATAAAAGGGCAAAAACTTTAGCCTTACAGTTGGTTTGTTGTTTTGAAAGCGATGAACTAACAGTGGGTCGATCGTGTGGCATGGGAGGTAATGGTTAGTTAAGGTTATATATGATTTTTTTTTTTCCGTATGTTTTTCTGCAAAATGATGTTTTAGAGATCTTTTTTAGACGTTACTAAATTTATGTTTTTTTAACCCATAATTTCATTAATTATTATTTTCTATTGTCATAGCAAAAAGGGATTAAAGGGCAAAAATTTTAACTCTACAGATGGTGTGTCCTCTAAAATATTAAGTATTGGGCCAAACAATACCATAAAATCTTTAATTACAACAAAATAACCATAAAAATTTTAAACTTCATACTTCAGTCACACATAATCTATCATCTACTATTGATAATTACTTCATTATGTATTTACGCGTACAATATCTTTTCATTCAATATATAATATTAATACAATTTTATTTATTTTACTCTGCTTATGAGTGTTATTGTCCAGTTCTTCTCCTTCAATAAAAATCAAGTGAACACTTGCATTTCAAATGATATGCATCATTTTATCTTTATAATTACGCCTCTATTTAATTTTAGTTCTGTAATGTATCTTAATATGGACTCCAAATACATTTTACACTTTTTATATTTTTTTGTTGATTTTTTATAATGTATGTAAATAAATCCCGCGCATCGCGCGGGTTTAACATCTAGTTGTTGTAAATATTTTTTGAGTCAAAACATTAAAAAAATGACACATAAGATTTTATCTTATGTGACACGTAAGATTTTAGTATAATACATTTAGTATAATACTAGAGATACTATAGATGGAATCAAAGCTAAAATTTAACCCAAATCTTAACTAATTTCAACGAAAGTGCATGTTATAATTTAGCGAAGAGAATTAATCAATTCTTATACTACGTACTGTATAGATTAGTCATTCGGCATTAGACACCCTGTCACTATGAACAAAAAGTAGGAGCTAAAATTTGGTGGTGTTCAAAGGAAATGACTAATAGGGCCCCTATTTGACGGATCTTACAAATCATGCATATATATATATATATATATATATATATATATATATATATATAGCACCTTCAAACTTAATAACGGAATCATTCTAAGAAAGTCAAAGGAATCCTCGTTGGAATAGGTAGTATCTCAACAGAATCTCAGTCAAAACTTATTACAATTCCCAATTTAGATTCTTTCTACTTGATGCTTTTTCCCTTTTGTGGTGAAAAAAGGCTAGACAAACAACAACAGCTGTAAAAATCACTATTTACAGCTGGATTAATATATATTTAACTACCCCTACAATTAATTTCCAACGATGAATCTTTTTGTCCAAAAAAAAAAAAATCCGAATTATTATTATGAATTAAAAATAAATAAAGTAGTACGTATCATTGAATGGTGTTCATAAATTGTCCAAAAAAAAAAAAATCTATATTTTCCCTTGTGATATAATTAAAGAAGGAAATAAAAAAAGAAGAAGAAGAAATTAAATGACTGGCGTGTACAACTGTAAATACGGTGCTACTTACTTATTTCCACAAAAGCTCCTGAATGTATTGAGACGTTGGGTACATGATAGATTCATAAGAGGAGAAGGGGACTCTTTTACATTTTCCTTCTCCGAAGCAAATGTGTAATACTACTACCATATCTGATTCTCTTTTCTCCCTAACCCTCCTTAAATTCTCACTATATATATACACCCATAATAAAAATAAACTTTCATTCATCGGAAAAATAATAATAAAAAACATACAAACAAGAGGATTCAGGTGATCTCGACCAGAATTGATTTGATTCGTACCAGGTAACCCACCAACCCCATCAACGATCATCGACATTAGGGTTCATGATTTTTCAATTTCGTTGTGCATGATTACGCGGATATCACTGATGCCATTATCATTTTTGTTTAATTTAATTTATTTCTTTTAGTGGGGATTGGAACCCTTATTGATTTTGGAGTCATTAGCCATTATAATTTTGGGGTTTCTTTCTGTGCGTGTGACAAAAGAAGATTGAAGTGATTTGATCTGAATCTTATGATGTTGGAATATTTTCGCCGTCGAAAGAATGCCGTATGAACCTTAAAATAATGGCGGAAACCAGGTGCCGTACGTTGGGTTCACTCATGTTTTTGCCGCTTACTTAATGAGCCTTTTTTTTTTTTTTTTGTCTTTTTTCTTACAACTCGTAGGTATTCGAAGACTAAATAAATTCTGTGCTGATTCTTTTAAAAAAAATAAAATAAAAAAAATCAGTTGTAATTAGAAATTTCTTACCCTTTAATCTAATCATTCTGGCTATGAGGGAGGGACGCTTTGTTAAAATAGTCTGTTTAACAAACCTTTTTTCTTTTATAAAAAATTAGGTTGATGAAACAAAGATCTATCTAGCAAAATATGAGCATAAATTGGTTGATGCACGTAATTTGGGTTGTTTTGATCGATGAGACAATTTTTTTTGGGCTTCTTTTTCCTTTTTATTTGTCTTTACATATAAAGCAGAATGTTTTTAGAGTAAGAAGCAATGTACTTAAGCTAAGAAGGGTTGATAATTATCTCTTTCATAAACACGAGAATCTGGTTTGGCTTGGCTAAAATTAGTATGTATAACGTCACGTTAAACCAGATTTATGTCCAAGCCTGATGTGTGTAATTCTGAATTTGCAAGCAGAGAGGAGATCGAGCTGTCTGTCTTTCTGCTTGCTATTTAATGCAAAATTACAAGTTTATACTCAAAAACACATAAACATGTGTCTTTGGTAAAACAGTTTGTTAATTGTCACCATTAGCTGTTTCTATGAATTGTGTTTATAACTTGTAAACTTCTTCCTCTTTGTGGGCCTTAAAAACGTCGTCTTTCTTCGAATTTTTACTAGGGGGATTGTCTTATTTAGCTTAATTTTTTTTTTTTTTTAACAGGTTTGAGTAATTCCTCAAGGCAGAAGCCTACTGAGCTCTGATGGAGAACTTGGAAGCAAATGATGACTACACCAAAGATGGAACACTTGATCATCGCGGTAACCCGGCCAATAAGAGGACAACTGGAACCTGGAAGGCCTGCCCTTACATTCTTGGTAATTACTTCAGTTCGTGTCCTGTTATTGTCCATGGATTGATTTTATTCTTCGGGTTTGTGAATTGTGACATCTTTTTTGAATTCTTTTCGGGTGTTCAGGAAATGAATGCTGTGAAAGATTGGCCTACTATGGGATGAGCAGCAACCTGATCATTTATTTCACCCAACAACTCAATCAGCACACTGCTACTGCCTCCAGGAATCTGTCAAACTGGTCAGGAACCTGCTATATCATGCCATTGTTGGGTGCATTTCTTGCTGATGCATATCTTGGAAGATATTGGACCATTGCCAGCTTCTCCATCATCTATGTCATTGTAAGTAACCTGTTCTTGTCTTTGTTCAACTTTCCGTTTATCACGAGGTTTGATTTGGGTCCATAAAATCCCAATTTGCTTTTCAGTAATTAGATTCTGAACTCTAGCAGAAACTTTGTTTTAATATTAAGATGCTAAATTTCGCTTTGATTTTGAACAGGGAATGACACTTTTGACGTTATCGGCTTCAGTTCCTGGTCTGAAACCAACATGTGTTTCCAAAACTGAGTGCCATGCAACCAAAGCTCAGACAGTTGTTGCATTTGTTGCCCTCTATCTGGTTGCTTTAGGAACAGGAGGAATCAAGCCCTGTGTCTCATCCTACGGAGCAGATCAGTTCGATGATGCTGACGACAAGGAAAAACATCAGAAAAGTTCATTCTTCAATTGGTTTTACTTCAGTATCAATGTTGGAGCACTGGTTGCTTCCTCGTTGCTGGTCTACATTCAAATTCATGTTGGATGGGGATGGGGATTCGGCGTGCCTGCTGCAGCCATGGCAATCGCCGTTGTTTCATTCTTTTCAGGTACCCGGATTTACAGGTATCAGAAACCCGGAGGAAGTCCCCTGACTCGCCTCTGCCAGGTGGTGGTTGCATCGTTTAGAAAGAATCATGTTGCCGTCCCAGCCGATGAATCTCTTCTCTATGAAGCTCAAGATGAAAAAAGCGCCATTGTAGGAAGTCGCAAACTCGAGCACACAACAGCTTTAAGGTATTTGCTCTGTTAAGAGATTCTGTTACATTACATCTCCCCTGTTGCAAAATTAGAAAATCCTAAATTCTTCCAATATTATAGTTCCAATAATGTGTGATACTAATACATGAAATTTGCCTGTTCTGAATTTGCAGTTTCTTTGACAAAGCAGCAGTGGTGACAGATTCTGATTATAAGAATGATTCGGAGATAGATAAATGGAGACTTTGCACTGTGACTCAAGTAGAAGAGCTCAAATCAATCATAAAGTTGCTTCCCATTTGGGCCACAGGTATTATCTTCAGCGCAGTTTATGGCCAAATGGGGAACCTATTCGTCTCTCAAGCAACTTTCATGGACACTCATGTCGGAAACACCAAATTCGAGATCCCTGAAGCTGCACTCAGTGTATTCGACACCCTCAGTGTCATCGTGTGGGTACCAATCTATGACAAAATCATCACCCCATTCGCCCGGAAAGCCACAGACCGGAAGAATGGCTTGACTCAGCTACAGCGTATGGGAATCGGGCTCTTCATCTCCGTCTTAGCCATGGTTTCTGCAGCCGTCTTGGAGATTGTAAGACTCGGCATAGTGAAAAGACATAACTTGTACGATGTCCAACATGTCCCGATTTCGGTATTCTGGCAGGTTCCTCAATACTTCATCATCGGTTGCGCCGAAGTCTTCACATTCATCGGACAACTGGAGTTTTTCTATGAACAAGCTCCTGATTCGATGAGGAGTTTGTGCTCTGCCCTTTCGCTTACAACAACAGCACTTGGAAATTACCTCAGTTCTCTTTTGGTGTGGATTGTGACACAGTACAGTACAAAGGGAGGCAAACCAGGATGGATTCCTGACAATTTGAACTATGGACATTTGGATTACTTCTTCTGGATGTTGGCCGGTTTGAGTGTGCTGAATTTGGGAGCTTTCATCTTGGTTGCGCAAAAGTTTAAGTACAAAAAGGCAGTTGGCACTCTTCGCTGATTCAATTTAGATTAGATTATAGGACCTGGAAACTTGAAGCTTTTGTATTTTTATCTTGTTGGGTTTTCTTCTTCTTCGATCTAGATGATGTGATGTTGTAGTTTTTTTTTTTTTTTTTTTCTAATATAAATTTGGTTATATAGAAAAAGCTACTCCTCTGTCTGTCCTCGTAGGCTAGTCAGTTTTGGATACCTGCAAATCTTTTCAACACTTCTGAAATGACACAATTTCTACACAGGATTAACAATTTACATGTCAAACGTACAGGAAAAACTAGATACTCCCTCTGTCCCAGAAAAATAATTCGAATCTGTAATAAAATTAGTACAAATCTCAAAATTCATTATGGACTATTAGTTTGCTATCTTTGTGGAACCGTTCCTATTATATTATCTCCTTCTCGGGCTGTAATCAGTTAAAAACTTGAGAAATTTTCATTAATAAAGTGCTTATTTTATTCACTGCTCCAACTAAATTTGAACTCACCGATTTCGCCTGAGACTTTTCACTCAACTCTCATATGTACTCTTATAAGAATGTCCATTCTAACAACGTCTAATCAACGTATATTAGCGCAACCTTTCATTTTTCTTTCCCAACAGAATATACTGTTTTCTGTTCTCCTTCACCATTTTGTCTTTGAAGGTAACGGTAGAAAGAACGCTCTAGTCAATTCGACACTAATCTCACTTCCTTCATGACATTTGTATTTTGCTACTTTGTCTTTTACGAACACCTTTGAGAAGAAAATTATATGTAATTCTTTTTATTAACATCCTTTAGATAACTTTTTTTTAAAAAAATTCTTTTTACCAACACCCTAATTAAAAAAGAAAAGAGTTAAATAATGTGAAGTACGTATCCCAGGGAGGAAAAATGATGCGCAGCAGAAAAAAAAGAAGTTAAACTTAAGAAATGAAAATTAAGCGTGTCTTAAAATATTTACTTCATTCGTCCAAAATTAAGTTTTTAGTTTAAACATAAATCGTATTAAAAAATAGAATCTCAAATTGAATAATAATTTTAGGACAAAAAGAGTATATATTACAGAAATTGGTCTTAATCTAAGAATGATGATGCTTTTCATGGAGCTATGAAAAGGTTCAAAGATCAAATTTCCAGTGACACAAATTCCACAATGTGGCCACAGGTTCCTTTTTATCTCTATATTTTTATGGAATCTTATAGTCGAAAAAGATTTGTTGGTTATGTGGTTCGACGATACTCAAAATTTCTGCTATCCTTGTCCGGGATATCAAGGTGCGATATAAAAGTCTTTTGGTAAACCTAACCATTAGGCAAGTAGTAGAAGTTTATTTGGCTTGTAAGGCATCAACGATAAGCGAAGGATAGCTGATAGCTCTGAATACATGTGTGCATATTACGTGCAACAAAATCTACATTTTGCATTTGTTACACATGGAATAAACATACATTGCACCCAAAATGCACATTTTGCATTTGTTGCACATGATCGATTATAAGACGAATACGAGAAGTACAATTGTTGCATCATATGAATGAAGTTTAATAATTATTATTTGATATGAAAGAGACCTATCTGATTCGAACTCAAATTATGTGAAATAATGATTTTAACTACTAAGTGCGTAACATATATATATATATATATATACATATATATATATAAACTTGGGACATTTTTTTGACACGGTAACAAAATCATGACTTCTTCCGATCCCCTTCCTACAATATTTTCTATTGTAACCATACTCATTTCCACTATATCTATATTTGTCTATAGTCTATGCCATTTCTAGTTACTTCGGGCAATTCGCACCGCCATCCACCACTTTTCCCTCACCGCCTTTTCCTTCACAATCACCACCTGTTCTTAAACCTATTCCTTATTCGAGAGCAAAATGCTCAATCTACTTTGATAACAACTTTTCGTTTCCCTAGTGCAGTTTCATTCCACATTCCAAGCTCATCAATGTCAAGTGCCCCATCCTTCCAAGGTCTGCATATCCGAAGATATCAGAGGATGACTTCTACCATTTTGGTTACTCACCCTTTTCTTTATCAGCCATGTACAGGCAGATGATAGCGGCATCATGCAAAGCCTTGCCACAGCCTTAAACCTATGTTTTCAAAACCGGATCGGAAGGTGAACCGTTAGCGTAACTGGGTTAGTGGATTTATCGGGTTAACGGATTAGTTCGTTACTTGAAACCAGTGAAAACCAGTTAAAATAATATTAAAAAAAATTTAAAAATTAACTTTTTAAAAAAAGTATGCAAAAACCGGTTTAACCGGTACCGGTTTCTGGTCAAACCGCGATTTTGTCCGAATTTGACCGAGTTTGACCGTGTTATACAGAACCGATTTTTTATAAAAACCGGACCAGTGAGGCTTCCGATTTCCGGGCTAACCAGTTAGACCGCCCGAGCCGGTCCGGTTTTTAAACACAGCCTTAAATGTGCCTGGTTGGTCTGGAGATAGTCCCTGTAGATGGTTTGGCGTGACATGCGATTCATCATCTGGCAGGATGATCAGTCGGATTAGTCTTGGTGATATGTCTCTCTCAGGACAACTTCCAGCGGATTTGAACCAACTCACGGGCCTTCAAATCCTTGATTTGAGGAGCTGGAATCGATAAAAGTCATCCCACACTGCGGTCACTTCTTCCAAGCCAATTGTTTGGACTCTGTGGTTAACTCCAAACCAAGAGAGATGTGAAGATCAGGCATGCCGGTTGTTCAGGGGGGACTGCTATTGCTGACGGAGTGAACGTCATTATATTAGTTATATAAGAGGAAAGAATTATGAATGAGTTGAACTTCTCGCTTTTCTTAAACATATTATTGTATATTTTATTAGTACAATATGCGAGATAATTATTCAATATCACATTTTATATTCAAATATGTATGTTGTTATTTATTTATTTTTAATTAAAAGAAACCGGAGAACTAATCATATCTCATGACAATTTTAATTATGTAACCTAGGACGCACAATGTAAATTGTAATTATCATAGATTGAAAACTGCATCGAAATTTGTTTGCTCGTATAACTACCACACCCTAAAATTTATTACTATCGCCAAAGTACATATTAGTCTCAACAATATCAATACATGTAATCATCATTTTTTCTCAATTATAAAATAAACGTATCAATTTACGAAAAGTTATGGGATGCATTAGTATCTATTTGGGTGCAGCCATATTTTAATTATTATAAAATCATGATATCAATGTGTAAATTAATTAATTTTGGCTCGATATATATACTAACCCAATCGATGTGTTTTCTTAAATCAAGAATGTCGCCTACACTAATTTGCTGAAGGAAAATATGCTAAATTCCAGACTGCACAGAACGTTTATCGATGCCTCGGTTGAGTATTACTCTCCGATGTTGACTCCTAAATTGGAGATTCCCCCATTTTATAGTGTCGTTACCAAAGAATGGCTTCGTGAATGCAACAAATACTTCATCTTTAGTATGAAGTTAAAGCTTGGCAAGTAGACATGGTGGAGTTGTACTTAGAAGATCGGGCAATAATTTAGTTTGAAGAATTGAAATGGATCAGATCATTTAGCTACTGCTGGTACATATGAACATTTTGCATAGAATGTATAATAAATTACCCCCACCAAAAAAAAAACCCCTTAAAATGACAAGGGCTAAATTAATTCGAAATTATAAATTTCAAATATTACTATATGATACTATAAACTTTAAATTGTTACTTTCTAATTTTCTTTTGGAGTTTCATCCAAAAACTAATGGTCAATCTTCTTTTCACGTGATATTCACGTGAATTGACCAAAAGGTATCTTGGGTTCAAAATAAAATTGACTTCAGTCATAAAATTTGTATGTCGTTCCATAAGAAAAACTGAATCTAATGTTTTCTTTAGACACAAATTATCATTCGGTCAATTCCCGTAAATATTTATTCACATGAATCATTAGTTTTTAGATGAAATGCTCAAAATAAATAAATAAATAAATAAATAATTTAAGTTTATAATGCCATATAGTAATGTTTGAAATTTATAGTTTCGAATAAATATAGCGTGCGAAAGTTTGTGGTACTTTTAGAGTAATTTTTTTCGTAAAATGTACAAACCTTGCACAAGTACTGAACTACAACGCTTTTGCCGGGGGAGAGGAGACAAAGAAGAACTGTGGGTTAGGTTCAAGCCATTACGAAATTGATTTTACGGAATTGGGTCGTGTATCTGTTTTGTGAATAATAATTTTTCGAAGAATTATTTGGTATCGTTAATTGTTATTATTTATCTAAAATTTTGTAGTGATTAGATAATCCATTATCTAGAGTAAACCAGACTACAATATAGCTTGATCAGTAAAAATGTGCTAAGTTTGTCTTAGAGTTATGCTGCACATAGTAAATACGTATTTTATATTTCAACCTGTAGGTACCGATATAAAATTTATTATTTTATAATTTAAGTTTGTATTCCTTAACTTATTCTATCAAAATATCAAATATTTAAATTTTTTCATAATTCAAAGGGGTTACATTGGAAAACTTATTATTCGGAGATAATTAAAACAACCATAAACATTACTACAAAGTGTTAAATCTTTTTTACAATGAAAAAAATTTCAAAACATAAAATATTAGTAAAATAGTAGGGGTAATATATTTTGCGGAGTGAAAAAAATTCGACAAAATCATATTCCAACATCATTGCTATGCATAAATTCGACTTATAAGTGTAAAATTTTGTTTTCTCTTTTGGGACGCTACTGGTAGATAATCGGGAGTAAGAGGTATTTCCGTCATTTTGGGGAATGTTGTTGAGCTGACAGCCTGACAAATTGACATTAACAATATCGCCGCCGCCGGCGGCTCAGCGCCGGCCCATACTCCACAGTAATCCTTTTTGGTTGTAGACGCCAAATGCCATCTATTCTCTCTCTCTCTCTCGTGGTAAACACACAGTGAGCGTGAGTGTGGACAAACATATTTTAAGGTAAGAATCCATCCGTCGTTAGTTTTACACATCATGTATGTAACACTTGTAGTAATAATTGAAGATTCTTCCTTTATTCCAAAAAAAACATTAAAATTGAAGATTCATCCAGCTTTTGTGGGATCATCATCATCTATTTAGGACCCCAGATTGCTTTTTCTTTGACTATTTCACGCGCAAAATTCCGATTCTATGATGCGCAATTTCCACTTTCCACAATTCATAAGTATCTTTCAGCTCGTCCCTTTCCCCCATTCTTTTCTTCTTCTTTCTGATGTTAACTACTTATACTCAGTAGTCAACCATTCTTAGTTACAATAAAAATACTTGCTTTAATATGTTACCCTCTTCAATGCTTGACCCCATCTCGTAGTGGGCTTGACTCAATTTTCAATTTTGAGCTTAATAAATCTCAAGTGTTTGAACTAGCTTTGAGCAGAGTATCACCGAACGTTCCTTCTGGGTTTTTTTTTTTGTTTTGGTTTTACTTTTCAGGTATGCTGTGGAAATCACTTTATTCGTTGGTAATCTTCAAGCTGCATCTGTTTAGTCTTAGTCTTAATTTGTTGAGGTTCTTGTACTATTTTTGTCATCCTTATCTGGAACAAACTTAAGAGTGTATCTGATTCCTGGATTTCTGTCTTAAGTTTTGTGGATTGTTATCGGTTTAACGATTTGGGATGTAGCTCTTACAAAATTCAGCTGAATTGGTTAGTATCTTTACTTGTTTTCTAAAGGACTCTATGCTTTTTTTAATCTTTAGTGTAAGCCTGCCAATTTTAGAACCTAAAGGGTTGTTCATTGAAACTAAATAGGAATTATTGAGCATTTCTTGAGCTTAATTTTTGTGGAATATGTGGTTGAGTTTTAGGATTGAGATACATGGGTGTTAATACTTGAACAATTATTACGAAGGGTCTAGACAGATTTCTTACACCCGTAGCTAACATATTTGCATAACATTGGGTGCCGAGACCAGTCCCCTGCAGGAATTGTATCTAGAAAGCCATGGCAGAAGATGATCTGTATACAAAAGATGGAACGATTGATTACCGTGGTAATCCAGCGAAGAAAAATGAAACTGGGACTTGGAAAGCCTGTCCTTACATTTTAGGTACTCCGGCAGTGTGTACTTTCTAGTTCTGTTCATAAGTAAATTTTTTTAAAAAAATTCAGGCATGTCCCATGTTTCATGTTCATTTAAATGATAGGGAATGAATGTTGTGAAAGATTGGCATACTACGGGATGAGTTCAAATCTGGTGCTCTATTTTAAGCATCGTCTCGGTCAGCACAATGAAACTGCTGCTAATAATGTCTCAAATTGGTCCGGCACATGCTACATCACACCACTGATTGGCGCCTTTCTGGCTGATGCCTATCTGGGAAGATTTTGGACTATTGCTTGTTTCTCAATCATATATGTGCTGGTAAGCTTCTTTAGTAATCATTTTTAATCTAAGTAAATGAAAAATGAGATTCTATATCTTCATTGGTGTCTACTGTCTGGTAAGGATGCAAGATGAGTTCTTCTTGCAGACAATATGCATGGTAGTTCTGACTTATGGGGGAAAAACTTGGGACACAATTACTAGTTGGGCAATTTGAGCAAGGATTTATTGCGAGGATTCAATGGGTTTCCAGTTTTGAAGTCTTTTGGCTAACTAAGGAGTGTTAGGCCTTTGTGCTGTAAGGCGAAACCCAAATACCTGAGCGAACCAAGCATATTCACTAGTTAATAGCTAAAGCATAGCAAACTCTTCAAGAATTAGAATTACTATAAAGTAATCAAATGATAAGATCGTTATCAGTACCATGTTGCTGACAGATGCATATTGTATGCAGGGAATGACACTGCTGACATTATCAGCCTCAATCCCAGGTCTGAAGCCTTCTTGTTACGAGAAGGATGCTTGCCATGCAACAGTCACACAAAGTTCTGTTAATTTCATAGCCCTTTACCTAATCGCTTTAGGCACTGGTGGTATAAAGCCCTGTGTTTCTTCATATGGAGCTGATCAATTTGATGACACCGATGAGGTTGAAAAGAAACACAAGGCTTCTTTCTTTAACTGGTTCTATTTTTCTATCAACATTGGCGCACTTATTGCTGCCTCAGTGTTGGTGTACATACAAGATAATGTAAGTTGGGCCTGGGGCTTTGGTATTCCAGCAGTTGCAATGGCAATTGCCGTGGTTAGCTTCTTTTCAGGTTCTAGGCTGTACCGAAACCAAAAACCAGGAGGCAGCCCAATAACACGCATCTGTCAAGTGTTGGTGGCATCATTTAGGAAGTATAATGTTGCAGTGCCGGAAGACAAGTCGTTGTTGCATGAAAGAAAAGATGCTGAATCCGGAATAGAGGGAAGTCGCAAGCTTGAGCATACCAGTGATCTTGTGTAAGAATCACATTATCCATCTTTCCTTGCTTTTATGATTTATGAAAATTGATATACTCTTTTATGTGGTGACTACTAGGTACTTCTTGCTGTATTTCCCACTGATTTTTTTGTGCAATGTGATTCCAATGTAGTTTCTTTGACAAGGCAGCAGTGGAAATAGAATCAGATGCTGTAAAAGACTCTGTTAATCCTTGGCGATTATGCACGGTAACTCAAGTTGAGGAGCTCAAAGCCATAATAAGATTGCTTCCTGTATGGGTTACTGGTATCATCTTCAGCACGGTATATGGTCAAATGGGTACTTTGTTCGTGTTGCAAGGAGAAACTATGGATACTCGTGTTGGGAATTCAACATTCCATATCCCACCAGCATCCCTGGGGATTTTCGACACTCTAAGTGTCATTTTCTGGGTTCCAATTTATGACCAGATAATCGTCCCAGTGGCCAGAAAATTCACTGGACACAAGAATGGTTTGACTCAGCTCCAAAGAATGGGTACTGGCCTTTTCATATCCATCTTCGCCATGTTGTCTGCAGGAATTTTAGAACTTATCAGGCTAAGAATGGTGAGAAGGCATAGCTACTATGATCTTCCAGCTGTACCCATGTCAATATTTTGGCAGGTTCCACAGTATTTCATCATAGGTTGCGCGGAGGTTTTCACATTTATCGGACAGTTGGAATTCTTCTATGAGCAAGCTCCCGACGCCATGAGAAGTTTATGCTCTGCACTCTCCCTGACCACAGTGGCTTTGGGAAATTACTTGAGTACTTTGCTTGTTACCATAGTCACAAGAATCAGCACAAGAAACGGAAGACTCGGCTGGATACCAGATAATCTGAATTATGGTCACCTCCATTATTTCTACTGGCTCTTGGCAGTGCTTAGTGTGCTGAATTTGGGAGCTTTTCTCCTGATAGCCAAGTGGTATACCTACAAAAAGCCAGTAGGGACACTTCGCTGATCATTACACATCAGTTGATATTGCATATCCCTGCAAAAAGGATGTATTTATTCCTCATAAATTCTTAAGAATGATTGTATAGTTGAAACTGTACTCTGGTAAAGTGTGCTGATGTTGCAGTTGCAGCATGTATCTTAAAGGTCTGGTCAAAAAATGTAGTGCTCCCTCCAACCCAAACAAACAAAATACTCCCTCTGTCTCAAAATTATTTCAACTTTGAAATGTCATTTTTAGTATAATTTGAACTAAAAATGAAAATCTAAACTGGACAATAATTTTGGGACGAAGGGAGTATTTATTTTAGAACGGGAGAAGAATAATATGAAGAGTAAACGAATGGTAATTTTGATTTTTTTTTTTGTTGAGATAGATTTTGATTTATACAATGTGGATGCTTCTTTTAAGGTGCCACTGGATCACTCCAATTAATATTTAAAAAAAAAAAAAAAAACTTTATTGTTACTCTTCAGATGCTCTCCCAATTCATTTCTAGTTGTACATGGTAATAGGTTACATAACTTGCCTAATGAAATTTTTTTTAACACATAATTATAACTATCTAGCCTATTATAGTGGGTGGTGTCTATAGGGAAGGGAATAGTACTACTAAGAAGGGAGACTAATGAAATTTTGTGTTACCTCTATGAAATGAATGAAATTGTGACTAAAACAAGATATAATCAACATTTCTCAACTTACAAATAGTAAAATTTGTGCTAATCATTTGGATTGATGATGACATACAATATGTGACACAATAACTGGTTAATAATAATTATAATTACGAACAATAATATTAATATTAATACTTAGGGAAAATTTAGATTATGGGCAGTAGATAATAAATAATTAATAAAGAGGATAGTATTCTTTAAAAATGAAATGATACTCTGTATTCTTTTACACCCTTTCTATTTGCGCAAGAAAAATTAAAAAAATACTTCTTCCACAAAAAAAAAAGTGAACCCAGACTGTTGGTTCTCTCCCGGATTCCGTCTTCTCTTATTCGCGATCAATGGTTCGGAGACGATTCAAAGAAACCAAGCCAGGTAAACCATAACGCTCATGATTTATTTGCTAGAAAGATTGTGGGAAAAGTCCAATGAATTCTTGCAAGTTTGATCAATAATTTATGAACGCATCTAAGCTGTTCGACTAAATGCCTCTTACAGCTCTGTTCTATGCCGAGAAATTTTTGAGCAAAGTGGGATTAGGGAAAGAAGATCATCACTTCTGGAAGCAAATTGGAAAGGGATTGTTGTGTACCTACACGCTGTTCGGCGTAGCATGGCTGTATAACGAAACCTCACCGTTAGGTTGGTGGACTTTAAAGCCAAGGCCAAAGGAAGAAAAGGAGCTAGCTCACCTATACGAGCGCCCGAATTATCCGTACCCAGGTGACAAGGAGGCCATGGAAGAATTCATCGCTAAAGGTGGGATGATTGGGACTGTAATGGGGCCGAAAGGGATCATCGAAACCGATAAAGACAATGTTAATTATCAGAAGCAATTGCAGGACCAGAAGTTTGAGCAGGAGGCTATGAAGCTCTGGATGAGAATGAGGAATGAAGTCGTCTCTGAGCTTCAAGAAAAGGGGTTTGATGTCGAGTGATATTTGAAGAAGATATAGTACGGAGTATAATTTCTGGTGTAGCTTGTGTTCTACTTTCCAGTAATTTGGTTCATTTTGTCAACATGAAGATACATGCATATATGTTATTGTACTGATTGTAAAAACTGGTAATTTTGGTTATCTTAAGTTGCTGTCCTTTTCAGTTTCAAGTTTGTGCTCTGCTACAGGGTTCATTAGTTTTCTGTGAGGGAAATGATTCACGTCTCTGACAAGTTTACATTCCACATAAACACACAAGATGTTCCTCCACAAATTCCACACTCACAGGAACCTCTCTGTAATCACAGTCGGATGAAGTATAAGGTTACTTAGGATACTTTCACCGAGATAGTGAACGGAAGAAGACGAAGTACCTGTCTATTAATGAACAAACTGGAGATTACTGAAATACAAGAACCACTGCATTATTCTACTTGTTTGTCATGCTACACAGATTGGAAGGTAGGAAGAAGGATCTGTACATTTTGATTGTATTACTGATATTTGGCTGTTTCGGTCTCATTCTTCTTGTTTCTTTGATCATCTCAGTGGCTTAGGTTTCTCTGTATTTTCTGAAAGATGAAACCCTTTCTCTCTTGTTGGAGTGTTCTTCCTCCTACAGCTAATTGAGGTGTGTTTGCCCTTCAATTCTTTTAACATTTGCATTGGATATGGTAGGACTTTGTGCTAATAGTAATACTCCAACCAATTCTGGAGTACTAATAATGATTGATAAAAGAATACAAATGACTTGCGGAAATGATCAAAAGTAAGCTACCAAGAGCGGGAGAACTTCTAGCCTTCGACTTAAGGAATTTTTCTCCAATTTTTTGAGAGTTGTATGTATCAGTACTATTTATCCGATTAATAAATCTAATTTCTGCCAAAAAAAAAATAAAAAAATTCATGTAGCTTGTTAGTATTCCAGAGGCAGCCTTCCTCCAGAGTATTACCCAAGGTAGCTAATAGCCAAGATCAACTATACCATTCCACAATAAGAACCGTAAAAATAAAACGAGAAAACACAATAATTTAATCTTTTGTCCCTCCTGTAGCGCAGGCAGAAACAACAGGAAAGCAATAATTTAACTGACAGCAACATAATTTAACCCACGCCAGTATCGATAGCTTGCTTAGAGATCAAAGACATCAGGGACTTGGTTTCGGGAAGATGGAATCTCTAGAGAGTTGGGAACGAGTTATGCTGCAGAGAGCTTTCCGCTTCCGATCTGGTTCTTGGTCATTTGTCTTATCTTTTTGATAAGAACATATAGTATGGCGGCCATTCAACTTGTTGCATTCACAAGGCCAAATTGGCCATATATATACGTACAAACAGAAACCCTAAGTGTTAGGGTTTACTAAACAATGACTAATCTACCCTTGAAGATTATATACATACATATATTCTATTACCCCCCTCAAGTTGGAGCATGCGGGTTACAAATGCCCAACTTGAAAAGAAGAAACACAAACTGGCGGTGACCCAAGGCCTTAGTAAAAATGTCGGCTAACTGACTATGGGTGGAAACATAGCGAGGAGAAATAAGCCGTTGGGTAAAAGCATCGCGCAGGAAATGACAATCCACCTCAATATGCTTGGTACGCTCATGAAAAACAGGACTGGCCACCAGATGAAGAGCAGACTGGCTATCGCAATGAAGTTGGATGGGCTGGGGATGACCAATACCAAGACTAAACAACAACACCTTTAACCACTTCATCTCACAAACAGTACAGGCCAGAGCTCGATATTCAGCTTCAGCAGAGAAACGCGATACAACTTGCTGCTTCTTAGTTCTCCAAGAGATAGGAGAAGAACCAAGAGTAACAAACCAGCCAGTAAGAGAGCAGCGAGACAGAGGACAACTAGCCCAATCAGAATCACACCAACCATACAACTGAAGATCGCTATCAGAACGAAGAAGAATCCACTGGCCTGGAGTCGCCTTCAAATAGCGAACAACGCGAAGTGCCGCCTCCCAATGAGTCTGTCATGGATGTTGCATAAACTGAGACAAAAGATGAACAGAATGGGAGAGATCAGGGCGTGTAACCGCCAAGTAAATCAATCGACCGACCAATCGACGATAACGCTCAGTCTCAGCGAAAATGGACCATCATCTAGCAGAAGGCGATGATTTTGCTCCATAGGAAATGCAATAGGTTTGCACCCAATAACCCCACCTCCGAAAGAATATCCAAGGTGTACTTCCGTTGATAGAGAAAAATTCCAGAGGCATTACGGGCAACCACAAGGCCAAGAAAATACTTAAGCTTTCCAAGGTCCTTCATGTGAAAACAACGACTGAGATAGGCCTTGAAAGCAGAAATAGCAACAGAATCATTCCCACTAATGACCAAATCATCTACATAAACCAAAATACTGAGAGTAACAGCACCACGATGAAAAGTAAATAACGAATAATCAGCAGAAGACTGAGTGAAACCATAAACCTTCAAGGCACTAGCCAATTTGGCAAACCAGCAGCGGGGAGCTTGCTTGAGACCGTAAAGAGATCTCCGAAGACGACAGACTTGATTAGAAGTGCTAGAGTGAAAGCCGGGAGGAAGCTTCATGTACACTTCTTCATCTAAGTCGCCATGAAGAAAGGCATTGTGGACATCCATCTGGTGTAACTCCCAATACTTGGCAGCAGCAACAGCCAAGAAAGTACGAACAGTAACTATTTTGACAACAGGCGCGGACGTCTCAGTATAATCAATACCCTCAACTTGATTGTTGCCAAGGATAACTAACCGGGTTTTATATCGCTCAACAGACCCATCAGCAAGATATTTAATTTTGAAAACTCATTTACAGCCAATGGCGCGTTTACCAGGAGGAAGGGAAGTAAGATCCCAAGTATGATTCTGTTCCAAAGCACGAATTTCAGCGTTCATAGCCGAGCGCCATTCCGCATCCTGCATAGCCTCGTGAAAGGTACAAGGCTCAGTGATTGCTGCCAAAAAAACTCGATGATCGGATGAAAAAGAAGTACAGTTTACAAATTGTATTATAGGATAAGTAGTACCTGAGGACGAAGACGAAGCTGGAGAAGCAGAAGGGTGGAAGCTGACAGCGTGGCGAGCATAACCACGAAGACGAGTAGATGGAAACTTAGTACGCATACCACGGCCCAAAGGTGGTGAAGAAGAGACTGAAGTAGACGGGTCTGAGGGCATGTCAGTAGTAGGAGAGATAGAAGATTCAGGAGGAACAGATGACGAAGACGGAATAACAACAGGCACAGGATCAGAAACACCAGAAATATCATCATTATCAACAGGAAAGACAGGCGAACCCGTATCAACCAAACTAGAGGAAGAATCCTCAGAATTCGAAGAGATAGTAGTATAAGGGAATTAAGATTCACAGAGAACCACATCCCGAGAAACCAAAAATTTTTGTTGCTCCATATAAAAAACCAACCAACCCTTTTGAGTGGTAGGATAACCCACAAACACACACTTTCGACTCCTAGGTGCAAACTTATCGCCCCCTAGCTTGGTTATGCACATAACAGAGACAGCCAAAAATACGTGTAAGTGTTGAAAGGAAGGGGTGGTACCATATAACACTTCAAAAGGAGTCTTGCCATGAAAAACAGAAGAAGGAGTACGATTAATCAAGTAAACAGCAGCCTTAACACAATTGCCCCAGAATTCAATGGGTAAACTAGCCTGAAACAGCAAAGCACGTGCCACATTAAGAATATGACGATGCTTGCGCTCAACATGACCATTTTGTTGCGGAGTACCAACACAAAAAGTTTCATGCACAATTCCATGTTGACGAAAATAGTTACGCATAGACAGAAACTCAGTGCCGTTGTCACTACGTACAGTTTTGACCGATTTTCCAAATTGTTGGTGAACCATAGCCAAAAATTCACACAAGCTATGAGAAACTAAGGATTTATCTTCTAACAAAGAAATCCAAGTAGTGCGAGAAAAATCATCAACGATAGTCAAGAAATATCTAACACCACAAAAAGCGGGAACCCGATACGGACACCATAAATCACAATATATCAAAGAAAATAAATCCTTACTTCGAGTACTACTGAGAGAAAAACTATCACGAGAAGGTTTGGCGCGAAGACAGACATCGCATGTTCTATTTAAAGATGTAGTACTAATACTGGAATCAACCAGTGATAACTGCTAGAGAACCTTCGAGGAGGGATGACCAAACCGCTGATGCCACAACTCAGAAGAACTAGTAACCATAGCTCGAGCAACCGTTGCAACAGATACCACCCGGAAGAAATAAAGTCCCCTAACTGCTCACCTGCTTCAATCAGCGTCCTCGTAGTGCGCTCCTGAATAACACAATATTTATTAGTAAACTAAGCAGTGCAACTAGAGTCCTCCAATAGATGATACAATGAGATCCGATTGCATTTTAAACGAGGAACAAATAAACAATTTTGCAAAATCACAGAATCACTCAAATGCACCATGCCCGCCTTCGAAGCATAGGTCAAAGTACCATCGGGTAAACTGAACCGGACGAGGAGAAATATCCCGCACATCTGACAAAAACTGCACAAAACCTGTCATATGATGGGTCGCACCACAGTCATACATCCATGTATTGGAAATATGCTTACCAGAAAGAGGTTCAGCGGACTTAGTTTTATGCAAAAGAGAGACAAGAGTCTGCCACTAATCCGGACTAAGACTGGAAGTTGCAGGTTTATCATTGTCCGTTAAAACCGAACCAGCAAATGGAGTGCCCGGGACCAAAACCGAGTTAACTTGTGTGGAAGCAGCTCCAGAACCGCGGCCCTGAGTTGAGCCGCGACCACCCCCACTCGAACCAGCACTAATTGAACCGGGAGCTCCAAAACCAGAAGCAACACGATTGCTTCGACCACGGCCAGAAGAAGACCGCCCCACAGACCGACCCCAACCAGCATGGTTCGTCCCCCACCACTCGGGATAGCCGATCAGGTCGAAAAAACTAGACATAAGATGACCCGGCTTGTTACAATGGGAGCAAATCACTGACGAATCAGCCTTCGAAGTCTCAGATTTATCAGGAACCCGAGACCGAGATGGCGGCCGAGAAGACTGAATAGCAAAGCTCAAAGCATCAGCAACCGGTTCCGCCGACTGAGCCGAACAAATAGATCGAAGACGTTCTTCTTGCACCAACAGAAAATAAGCATGATTGACCGACGGAAGAGGGGCTTGTGCAATAAATGAGAACGAACACTGCCATAAAGGGTACTATCCAAACCCATCAGAAGTTGGTGAAGCTTTTCAACCTCTCGACGGCGCTCCGATTCGGTATAAACCTCAGTCGATCCACACGAACATTTCTGAAGAGGTTCATAAGCCGCGAGATCTTCCCACAACTGCTGGAGTTTACCATAATATGAAGCCATACTGAGCCCTTTTTGTGAACAAGTAGCAAGGTCTGTCTTAAGCTGTTGAATTCTAGGGCCGTTAACAACACCAAATCGGTCTCGCAGGTCATTCCAGAGAGAAGAGACGACTTCGTGATGAGGAATGGAATTACGGAGCCACGAAACAATGAGGGAATTGTTTGTCCACCAGTCGTCCAAATCTGGAGAGGCGGCCGGCGGCTGAGGGATGGAACCATCCACAAATCCAAACTTTTTGCGGGCACGGAGAGCAGTACGTACGGCTTAACACCACTCGTCATAATTGGTGTGTTTCAGAACAACTTGGGTGATAACGGAGCCAGGATTATCCCCGGACGTCAAGTCATAGGGATCGATTGTTTTCCGGCGAGAAGGCTCCACAACAGAAGTGCTGACAACAGTTGCAGCAGCAGGCGTGCCAGACGTGGACGAGGGAGTACCGGTTGTCATTGAAACAAAGCCGGCAGCAACACACAACAACAGAGAAAGAAATCAGAAAATGATGATGATGACGGTGCTTTACTGGACAAAGATTTATATCGGCCAGAATTTGAATAAAGAAGGTGATGTAGAAAGATGAAGAACGAAAGCTACATAGAGCTAAGCAAAAGCTTCACAGAAACTTGGACGTGCGAAGCGCCACACAAGAAGATGCACGCAAACAGAAGTTTTGGGGAAGAAGACAAAAAAATGATTACAGACGGCGTCAAATCTGGTAAAGGACGCGGATACGCAGCGTAAAAGAGAGACGCAAACAGAAGCAAGGCTGGTCGGAGGAAAAAAAATAAAAATTAAATTACAGGTGATGGTAAGAGGTTTGGAAGCCTGATACCATGATAAGAACATATAGTATGGCGGCCATTCAACTTGTTGCATTCACAGGGCCAAATCAGCCATATATATACGTACAAACAGAAACCCTAAGTGTTAGAGTTTACTAGACAATGACTAATCTACCCCTGAAGATTATATACATACATATATTCTATTACTTTTGGTCCCCAATCTCTGTCTGGGCGGCAATCTTGGTTGACCTATTACCATACGGGAACGAAAAACCTTTTCTCCTCTTCTTTGTTGCATCGAAAACCTCGCTTGCATCATTTGATCATAAGGCAGAGGTTCGAGAGTGAAAGGTACTTGATTAAGCACAAAGTGATATTTGTTGGTAAATCCATCATGAGTCACCCGCCTATCGTACTGCCATTCCCTACCAACCAAAACATCGGCCGCCTGCAGCATCGGCAAAACATCACACACCACTTCATCAGCATAATCACCGATTGAAAAAGTTCAATTTCACTTGCCTATCAACCTTGATCACTTCACCTTTGTAATATGACATTGGACGTAGCTTACGAGGATCAACCGGGATAGTCGACAATCCCAATCTATCTATAAAACTTGCACTGGCACAATTATACTGAGTACCCCCATCAATATTCAACAAGCCTACCTCGTTTTGGACCAAACAATAAGTATAGAAACACGTGTGGCGTTGATCAGCATTAGGAAGAGGGGGGGAGCCCAGCTCTGAAACCCTGCCGAAATACTGGACGTTCTTGGCTTGGTAGTGGTTCTGACTCCACTGTCATAGTCATCGTCACTGTCACTAGAGATCTCTACAAGGTAGCCATTCGTCCTAACTATTTTACACAGCACATAATCGTCGTGACCAGCAGCAGGATTGATACTATACTCGGTCATGGACCATTGCAATGTCGAGAATAACGGTGGGAGTTCATCTAAGAATGTGAAGGTGAAGGTGAAGGACCTCTTGTATCCTATCAACCCGCCATCACCAAGTACAGCCTCTTTTTCAGTGGTTGCGCCCCAGCTTCCACATTTCTCCTCGAGTGGTTTGGTGGCGGGAATGCCTACATTTCTGCACGGAAAATGCGAGAAGTTGTTGTCTTCCGAAATGATCAATTCCCAGCCAACCGGAACGCCACGGCGGCCGTTGCCGTACATGTCTACTTCGGTTACGAGCTTTGATTGGCAATGGGATAGGTTCCTGTAATCTTATTCTTCAAGATACCCACTAAGTCCTCATCTGATTCCACATAAGACACACCCACAAATTCCTCTTCATCAAATGGATTCACTCTCTTTCTCAACGCCGCACCAGCCATCACAGTTAATTTGCTGGAATTGCAAAATCTATTGGCAAACAGTTGGTGGTCGTCTATGTTTTTTAATCAGGCATATTTGATTGTCTGTATTGGAAGGGTTCCTTCTTATATGTAGACAATAAATTACCTCTTGGACATGGTTGAATTCCAAATCCCAGGCGGTACAGGAGACCGACTTACTAAAAACTTAAAAAGCATCACCTAATCATCCATAAAATTTTCAGTTGGCCCAAGATTATCACCTAAAAATAATCGAATATTATACCAAACAAAGCAAGGAAAAGGGAAAGGTATTAATCTTTCGTCAATGCTTCCGTCACATAATCATCAAATTACTGACTTCGCCCAAGCTTTTGGTTTCAGCACCTCCAGTCTTCTCAAAACACACAATAATAAACTCATACACTTGTACCAAAAAAAAAAAAAAAAACACTCGACTTCAAAACCGATCTTTAATATGCCTTGTGTCTCGAAATGATAAGTTAAAAGGAGAAGTATTATGTTTTGGCATTAGAGTGAAGTTGAAACCAGTGTCCAACTCTAACCCAAAATTTAAGAACCTGGCTTTGTCCTCTACTCCTTTGCTTAAGTGCCAGCCATGCATCTGGTCTTAGGCAAAAGTATGCTTTTTTTTTTAAATTTTATTTTACCGATAATCCGATACACACATTTGAGGGGAGATGTTGAGTGTAGAGTACAACTGTTGAGTGTATCAAGAAACTCATAACTGAAAAGAGACTCCAACTACAAGTTGATTTGGGGTCTGTCCGAAATTCGACAAGTATGGGAGAAAATGTTTCCAAGCTGTGGAACTTAGATGAACAGAAGTTCCAAATCACTTGGTCAAGCTTTCATCAAGTCTGCCCTCGAGCGCTAGCCTTGCCAATGCAGAGAGAGCATAGTGACTTATTACTTGAATGTGCACATTCCAAGGTCAAAGCAGGTTAGACTCTGCTAAGATTGACACAGATGGTGGATTAGAAGATACCCCTCGGTCTCAGAAGCGATTACAGGCAAATGGTGGTACCTTAAAATGGTCACAGATCTGTGAAGAACGAGTACTTGACCAAAATCGAAGGTAATTCAGTAGCAAGCAGCCAAGCACGATATCTGATCGATCATGTTAAGTGACAGTGATGGGAAACTAATCATCATTGACAATCTCCTCTCGTTTCTTTCATTTGGGTTGTTTCTTAGGAAAGAGGATATTGAGAATAGCCCAAAATGCAGGGGTTCTCAAGGACGGAAAGAGGATAGAACTTATATCAGCTCACAAAATCAATTTACCATCTTGAAAGTGCCATCAGGGGTTGACAGCAAATGCGAGACGAGCCACAAGCTTGCCAGTAGTGTTAAATAATGACAGAATCTACCAAAATAACAGAAGTTACCGGTGCAATTTCTGCAATTCTAAGATGAGGATGACCACACTTTTGCAATGCCTGTCATACAAAAACATTCTAGTCCTAACTCCTAACAGCAGCTCAGGATGCATGTATACTCCACCGCTATACTATAATTCTGGTTTAACATTAACTTGATTCCATGCTTGGAAAACCAAGTAAAAAAAAAAAAAAACGAAAGAAACAACATCCGGATCAACACATTGAGATTTGACCATGTTTCAGAGAACAAAGCTACTTTACTGAAACAGTAAACCCTGCAGCTAACTTTCAACCTTTAGGATCATTAAGACTCTAAAATCAGAAGGAATTGATTTCAAGGGAAAATCAAGAAAGCAAAAGGTTAGAAGCTTGTATTATTATGTAATTGAAATTGTGCATATAAAGACGTTCAACAGTTACACAGAGCTGGTCATACAAAAGAGAAGAAAACTATCATTTCCTACACAAGTTCATAGACAATCAAAAGCACATTGAGACACCTTGATCCGTTTAGGTCAGAGACAAAATATGGCCATCGATGATATGTGAATTCTGCAGCTTGTTCCTTCCCGATCTTCGGCTTCTAGAGGTCCTCAATGGCGTCAAATAAAATGGCAAAACATCGTCTTCTAAGTTGCTTGAAGCATGCTTAGAACTCTGATTTATTTCCAGTACAAAGTCTTCCTTGCTCCTTTTGTTGATACACTCCGATTTCTCTGCGCTACTCATCAAACCAGTACTTGACCTGATCCCTTCAACCGATCGCCTTGGACCAACAATGCTGCTCTGAATCTGCTTTCTTCCCAATACAAAGTCTTCCTTGCTCTTCTTGTTAACACATCCAGATTTATCAGCAGTGTTCATCAAACCAGAACTTGTCCTGATCACTTCAACCGATCGCCTCGGACCAACAAAGCTGTTCTGTATCTGCTTTCTTCCCAGTACAAAGTCTTCCCTGCTCTTGTTAACACACTCAGATTTATCAGGAGTACTCAACAGATTAGTGCTTGACCTAATCACTTCTACGGAACGCCTGGCACCAACAACACTGCTGCTCCTCATAAGCTTCCAACCATGGCCATCTATAGTCTCTCCAACACCCTTTTCTTGTTTCTTCTCACAAGCTGGAGCAGGAGAAAATTCCAGTGAATCAGCCACAGACTTATTATCAACAGATTTTTGCTTGAAACCAAAAACACTCCACATCTTTCGCCACTTAACTTGTTTCTTAGATCCCTGATGGCCACCATGATCACCTTCTGCAGCATTCTTGACAAAAGGAGATTTAATCTGCTTTTGATGATGATCATCTTTCATAGATCTCAAATGCCAGTCCTTCAATTCTCTCTCAGTAATAACCAGCTTCTTAGGCGAAGAACTTGCATTCAGCCCATATTTCATTTCATCCCCTTCCAATCCCACAAATTTCTTTCCAAAGCTCCTCACGGAGCTGGACCTATCAAAACTACTTCGCCTCTGAGATGACGAAGAATCAGAATTGGACTGAGACTGAGCTGATCCTCCTGAACCTGAGCTACTCAAATCTTCCATTATCGAATGCATTTGGCCCCCATCAACAGAGATTCTATGCTTATCGAACCCGCTTCCACTATTAAGAATAGCATTTTCCACAACAGACAGCATGGGCGCTAGCCTAGGAATGGTCCTGGCGATCAGATACCCATCCCAAGAAGCTCTTGGCTCATCAAATGAAATCCTTCCCGCATCCATAGAAAACCTAGGATCTATGTCGCAAGATCTCCTGCCCTTGACAAAGTCCGCAGCCTCAGACTGAGTTTCCCCAAATTTCTTCTCCTCTCTACCCTTAATTTCACCGTTAACATCATCTGTGCCTTCCTCATTGCGGAGCTTTTTCTTATCTTTGTGCCTCCATTTCTGCAATTTCTTGCTAAATACTGAAGCTGCCTCCCACAAGTTCCCACCGAGCTTCGTCTTCTGTCCCTTGCTCTGCAGCTCTAGATCTATGTATTCTTTCATTGTCTTGAAATCTCCTTCTTCAACATTACAATCTTCGAGGTCTTCATCGTCATCGAAATCCCTAATTTCTCCTCCTCCATTGTCGACTTTGCTGGCCGCTCTAAGCTCAAACGCAGGGCTCTTGAGAATGTTCTTTGATTCAACCTTAGAGCGAACACCATTGTCAGATCCATTGCTATCATCAGCATCAAACAGATGGGCCAAACTTTTCCCATTCCGAGACCCAACATCGCAGGACTTCCGCCGAGGCTCATGGAAGCTCGCCGAAGCTTCACATTTCGCCGTATAAACAGACCTACACCGGCGCAACTCCGGCGACCCGGCGGCCGCGGCGGCAGCAGCACAAATACCCGGCCTAGCTCCACTTCCCCCGCCTACATTGCCGGTGGTGGAAGTAAAAGATGCCTCCGGAGAGTCGAGCCCGTGTAAGCGTTCCCGCAAGCAAGAAGCGCAGATTCCGGTAGCCGGATCAGCCGGATGGAGGTAACAAGAAACAGAAAGGCGGCGTGTACGAAGCGGGTTACGGGTAATCGAATCGGGTTTCGAAGACATTAAAACTAGATGTAAAAAGGGATCATTTTTCTAAGGAAATACGTAAAGGGTTTCTACTAATCAATCTATATCCCTCAGATATGGAGGAAGAAATGGCGAAAAATGGCAGAAAAAATGGCGGTTTTGGGGGCAGAGGGAAATGGCGGTAGAGAAGAAGACAAGAAGAAGAGGGGTGCGTGGGGTGTGGTGCAGAGTAAACGGACGTAATTAAGAGAGGGTGCAGAAAACGAGAAGAGAGGGCTTAACAGAGTGAAGAAAGATGGGATTGGAAGGCGACGAAGGGGAAGGTATCCTAAGAAGCGTTAAGTACTGAGCACACTTTTGTGGTTTTTGTTGGGTTTTGATAACACAAAACCCTTAAAACTCAACAAATCTGGGGCTTTGTTTATTTTACACACAGACACTCTGACTGTGTGTGGACTGTGTGACTGTGTGTATTTCATTTGGTCTACTACTACTGCCTAGGGCCCTTGGATTGGGACAGGTCCTGCATGTTATGGCTGACCTTAACTATTTTTCTCACCAGATCTCTTTCCATTTCTTTATTTCTGTCTTCCTTTGTCTAACTGGATTAATCTAATGTCTGCCCTTTTTTTAAAAATGTGTTCAATCACTGGGGTTCAGGGGAATTCATGGATCAACCACCAAAGTTTGGAAAAATTATAATCAACTAGTTGAACTTGAACAACAACAACAAGCTCAAGGGTGTAAAACACACCTTTTCTTTTCTTTTCTTTTCTTTCTTTTTTCCTTATTCTTTTCCTTTTTTTGGGAACACCTACAATGATGGACATTGTTAAAAGCTGTGAGAACTAGAAAGACAAAAGTGTTAAAGCATGACTTGTAGCTAGAGGTTTTGAGTACTTTATTATTTGAATGGTAAAACAATAGTCAAAGTGGACATTTTCAAAAAAAAAAAAAAATAGTCAAAGTGGATTGTTATTACACGAAATTAGAGTTCAAATTTCGTTACAATTAAATTCATACTCTTAAATATTGTTTTTCTAAAAAAAAAAATACACAAGCGAAATTGAATTTGCAAGTATAATGACACTTAAGGATCTACAGCATATTATTGTATTTGATAAACGGTAATAGAAAAATAAAAACCATGTTTTGATCCGTAACTTGTATGAGACATAGCTGCATAGTTTCAATTTTCATTTTTACTAAGTTTTATAGGGAAAAAAAAAGTTATACACAAAAGAAAATGGTATTTAGAACACATTTGACGTCCCTAACATTTATACTTGGATCCTTTTTAATTATCTGGTCCGGACATTCACTATTTGAGTTGTTCATATTCAAGGCTGATGGCTACTCTCTGTTCGAAAAAATAAGAAAGAAATAGTCTGTCAAGTTTGATCGACTATCAGCCAAAAGCCCAAAAGTGCGTGAAACATACTCCAACATGATAGTATATCCAAATCTATTATATTTACATCTATCTATATATATATATATATATTAAGGTAGACTTTTCTATCGGTCACATGGCGCAAGACTAGATAAGAAAATCCACTTGGCGGAAAATTAAATAACCAAGTTCACATGTCGCAACCACATCACTCTATCATTTAATAGTAATTTTTTTATTTGTGAATATGTAAAATCTACAAATAATCAATTTTACCTAGTAAATTAGAGAAAATTTAAATAAAAAAATATTATCCAACGCTTAAAAGGAAAATGCGAGACACCATATATTAATTTATTAGTAAAGTAACTTATGGTAATTGTAATCATCAGTTAGATTTGAAAAATCCGTTTTTTATGATATCCGCAAAAGTCCAAGAAAATTGTAACTAACTGAATTCAAAAAAATTATTTTCGTGAGATCTCTTTGCTTCTTCTTCTCACTCCCTCACCCTTTTATTTTCTTGGATAACAAAATCAGTTTTTTCAAGTCTACTTCACAATAATATCAGTTCTTCTTTATATTTACAAAACACAAGATAATCGAAAAAAAAAAATACTAAAACGACAAAGTTAATTTGATCAAATTGGTTGATTGTGAAATTAACACAAATTCGATGGCTAAATTATGATTCAAAATCGAAAATAACGTTAATTTAATCGAAATGGTTGATTATAGAATCAAAACAAACTGGATAGTCAAGTTCATATGTCACAACTATATTACTTCATTATTTAATTGTCATTTTTTCATATAAATTATAGATTTATAAATATAACTAAATTTACTAGAAAATAACCCCTTACTGGTGTTTTAATGATAAATAAAAAAGAAAAGTGACCAAAAAAAAACCTTTTTAATAGTAAGATAACTTTTTTCCCGTTAACGGGCAATACTAATGAATAATTATTAATGACTACGTTGTATAAAAATCATAAAAGAAAAAGGGTAATAATAATACATAATATAATTATGTATTAATCGGCCAAACTTTGAATAATATATGAATATGTTACATTATATATTATATTATATAAAATATAATATATTATTAAATAATATAACAAATAATTATAAATAAATTAATATAATAATGTAATATGTTTACTGTTTTCTTTTCATATGATTGTGATGATAAAAAAAACATAGAGATCAATAGGGCGAAAGTTTTCTAAAATGAAAAAATTAATAAACGTTTTCTTGAGAGACAAACAGTAAAAAAAGAGTATATTGAGAAATTAACAATAATTATATGAAGGAAAAAAATAATGTATAGAATAAGAAAGTCTGAAAAAGAAATGAAAAAAATAGAGAAAAATAAAATAATTATTACAAATTTTTCAAGAAATGATGCTTTAAAGAGAGATCATCAAATTTAGAAAAAAAAAATGAAGATAAAGATATAAGAACAAAATATACAAGAAGTATAGGAAAGATATGAACAAACTTTTAATATGAAGTAAACACCTTGTAGGAAAAATATGAACAATATAGTAAACGCTATATTCTAGGAAAAATATGAACAATATAATATGAAGTAAAAATTATATTATAGAAAAATATACGAACAAAATTTTAAAGAGAGGTTTCAAAATGTATATAGAAAGATGGAAAATAAAGACAAATTTATGGAAAAAAAAAATAATGAGAAATATTACAGAGTGAGTTTAGAAGGTATGCCAAGCGTAGAAATATTTATAAACATAATTATAAAATTAAGAGAATATTTTTTAAAGATATAAAATCATAAATCAAATTATTCCAAATGTATGTAAAATAATAAAATACATTGATATTAAAAATTACATTTCAATTGATATCATTTTTATATCCATCACTCTGTCAGAAATGTCATATTATCGTTAAATCATTAAGCTCAAATATATCTTGAACAACCAGCACGTTACACTAGTATATTAAAACAGAGTTCTTAATTGACACGTGTCGTCAAGGGAGAAAGTTTAGCTAATTGTGCCACGTGTCATCATCAAAATTTTCCTTCATTAAACAGTTAAAAGTTTATTACTAATACATAATTGTTAAATTGAATTAAGTAATTAATTAAAAATTAATTTTGAAAAAGTAAATATCACGTCTCTGGTAATTATTGACAAATATATGATATAATGAAACATTAATTATGAAATTAATAATTATATTAAGAATACAGATTAAAACTAATTTTGAAAAATTAAACGTAAGTTAATATTATTTTTCAGATGATTCTGTTTGATATATTTTCTAAAAATTAAAAGATATTACTTACAAAAAAAAATTGTTACCAAATAACTGTATTACGAATACAATTCGAACCCAAGTTTGCGTACATTAAACATATATTAATATTATTTCTTAGATGATTGGTATATTTGTCATAAATAAAAAGAGACTACTTACCAAAACGAAGAGATTATTTACCAAATAATTATACAATTACAATTCAAATCTAAATCTAGATACATTAAACGTAGGTTAATTATATTTTTCTAGTGATTCCATTTGATATATTTTCTAAATAAAAATAGATTCGTTACCAAAAACAAAAAAAAAATTACTTACCAAATAATTATACTACGAATATAATTTGAAATTAAGTTTGGATCATTAAACATATCTTCATATTGTTTTTCAGATTATTCCATTTGATATATTTTTCAAAATTGAAAAGAGATTAGTTAATAAATAATTATACTACAAATGCAATTCAAAACCAAGTTTGTATGCATGCAACATAGATTAATATTATTTTACAGATGATTCCATTTAATATATTTTTCAATAATAAAAAGAGATTAGTTTAAAAAAATAAAAGGAGATTAGTTACAAAATAATTATATTATGAATACAATTTGAAACCAAGTCTGATATATTGAACGTAGGTTAATATTATTTCTCAAATAATTTTATTTGATGTAATCCCAAAAATAAAAAGAGATTAATTACCAAAAATTAATAGATTAGTCACTGAATCATTATATTACGAATATAATTCGAAACTAAGTCTAGATACATCAAATATATGTTAGTATTATTTTAGATGATTCCATTTGATATATTTTTCAAAAATAAAAAAAAATTAGTTAGGAAAAATATAAAGATTAGTTTCCAAATCATTATATTCAAAAAAAATTCGAAATCAACTCTAGAGAAATTAAACATATGCTAATATTACTGTTCAAATAATCCCATTTGATTTTTTTTTTTTTTGAGGAAAATTTGATATATTTTTGAAAAAAAAAAACTTTGGTTACAAAAAATAAAAAGAGATTAGTTAGCAAATAATTATACTACGTACGTATATTGGAACCAAGTCTAAATACATTAAACATGGATTAACATTATTTTTCATGATTTCATTTGAGATACTTTTCAAAAGTAAAAAAGAGATTAGTTATCAAATATTATATTACGAATACAATTCGAAACCAAATCTAGATACATTAAACATAGGTTAATATTATTTCTCATATGATTTCATTTGATATATTTTTCAAAAATATAAAAATATTAGTTATCAAAAATAAAAGAGATTTAGTTGTCAAATTATTATGTTATTATGTTATGAACACAATTGAAAACTAAGTCTGGACACATTAAATGTAGGATAGTATTATTTTTTTTAAGATGATTCTATTGATGTATTTTTCAAAAACAAAAAGAGTTGGTTTACCGAAAACAAAAAGAGATAAGTATCAAATAATGTTGCTTATAATACAATTTAAAACCAGATCTGGATACGTTAAATGTAGGTTAATATTATTTTTCACATAATTTCATTTGATAAATTTTTCAAAAATAAAAGGATTAGTCATTAAAAAAATAATAAAGAGGTTACATTCTAATTCTCTCGTCTCCTTTCCTTCTCCTCTATCCTCTATCTCTTTTCCCTCTCTCCTCCCCTTTCATCTAAAACTCTTTTTTTTTTTTTGTGTTAAAGGTATACACTACCCTTTCTCTTTGTTGAGTTACAATT